CCTCCCTCCCTCCCCCCACCCCCTCCCTCCCTCCCTCCCTCCCTCCCTCCCTCCCTCCCTCCCTTCCTTCCTTCCTTCCTTCCTTCCTTCCTTCCTTCCTTCCTTCCTTCCTTCCTTCCTTCCTTCCTTCTTTCCTTTTATGCCAGTACTGGGGCTTGGACTCAGGGTCTCAAATTCTTGCTTGGCTCTTTCCACTCAAGGCTGGCTTTCTATCACTTGAGCCATAGCTCCACTTCCAACATTTTTCTGATTACAAATTTGTCTACCCAGGCTGTTTTTGAACTATGATCCTCAGATGTAAAGCCTCCTGAGTAACTGTATTACAAGTGGGAGCCACTGGTGCCTGGCTTTTGCTTTCAATTCTTAAAGTAAGCATGTGATTTTGATATCAAGATTTCCCAATCACTTGACATTTTGAGCTGCTTAAGTTTTTGTTGTGGAGGATTACCCTGTTCATTTCAGGATGTTCACTGGCATCCTTGGCTTCTACCCACTAGATGCTAGCAGCATCCTTCATTGTAGCAACCAAAAATGTCCACAGACATGGCCAAATGAACCCTGAGTAGATAAACTTGCCCCCTTGTTGAGAACCACAACTTAAAAAAAAATGGTTATTTAACTTTTATTGTTTCACTTTCCTGGTTGGATTCTTCTATGTGCTCTCATGTGACTGTTCAGTATTATATGTGTCATGTGTTCCATTATTATGTTGAACAGATCAATACAGTTTTTCAAGCATTAAAAGTCAAAAAGGAGTTATTGTAGCTACCTTTTGGCTTACATTACACTGTTGCAGGGTAGAGATATTCGAATTTGTTCCTGAAAGATCAATTCACTCTCTTCCAACTCTCTTCCTGAGAGACAACTGTTAGTCAGGGACTTTTCTATGTCTACTACTGCAGAACGCTTGTGACAATAAGTGTAATCTACAACAAAAATATTTCTAAACCAGAATCTATTTATTTCGAATGATATTTGCCAGGTGGCTTACACAAGTAATCTTAGCTACTCAAAAGGCTAAGATCTGTGGATCATGGCTCTAAGCTACCTCAGTACAGAAGCCTGTGAAACTCTTCTCTTTATATGGCTCAAGTAGTAGGTAGTAGGGTGCCAACCTTGAGGAAAGAAGCAAGTGAAGAATATAAGGCCCTGAGTTCAAGCACGTGCATTGTGCATGTGCACGTGCGCACACGCACCCATGCACACGCACACACACATGTGAATTATATGGCTGGGAGCATGGCTCAAATGGTATAGCATTTGCCTGACAATTTTGAGACCCTGAGTTCAAACCCCAGTAGTACTGAAAAAGGGGAAAAAAATGTTGAATCACAGAATAATCTGAAACATGCTACTACCAAGGAGCAACTTTTATTAGACATCAACTAATAGTGTCTGTCAGGCTCTTTAGGAATGAAGAGGATAGTTACTGGGAAGATATTTATTTCGGAATAGGATATTTCTCTGGCCTCAAATACCCAAATCCTCCCGAGTGCTGGCATCATGCGTGTGAATCTCCACCTCAGTTAAGAAGATATTTAAAAGTTGATCAGATTGTTTCCTTTAACCAAGGTTCCCTTTTGTTCGCCCTTCAGGATGGACCATCTCCCTTCTTTGCTCCTGTCCCTGTTTTGGCACTCCTTGGCAGTGTACATCCCCAGAGAAGACTCTGGAATAGAGAGGCTTGCAGCTTGCCAAGGCTCCGCCAGCTGTCACTTGGTGGTCAAGCTGCTTCACCTTTTTGAGCTTTCGTTTTTCTCTTCTTCCTTTCCCTTCCCTTCTCTTTCTTATCTTCTCCCTCCTCCCCCCATCACTTTCCTCCCCTTCCCTCCTCCTTCTTCCTCTCCCTCCCCCTTCCCCTGCTTCTTCCAGTTTCCCTCTCCCCTCCTAGTTATGCTTTACCTTTCTCCCTCCCCTTCCTTTCCTTTCCCTTCCCTTCCCTTCCTTTCCCCTCTCTTTCTTGTGCAAGTTATCAAACCAGGACCTCATCCAAGTGCTCTACCTGTGAGCTACATCCCCAGCTCAGTTTCCTTGTTTAAGAAATAGGTAGAATGGGGGGGAGCGGTGGGGGGGAGGATGGGAAGGGATGGGAAGGGGAAACAAAGAAGGAGGCTACAATGCTTGATAAGAAATGTACTCATTATCTTGCCCATGTAATTGTAACCCCTCTGTACAGTATTTTCACAATAAAAAGAAAGAAATAGGTAGAAGTATTGGGACACAGTGAGGATCCATGGGATAGGTATACAAATGTTCCCTTCTCCTGTGTGATGTGTGTGTGTGTGTGTGTGTGTGTGTGTGTGTGTGTGTGTGTGTATACAATTTGCTGTTGGTCCTCTACCTGCCTTTAGATTTCCTCACATTAAGGTAGCTACCCTTGCCTTTTCTGATCCCTTATGCTGTGGTTACTTGAAGGACAAGAACAGTACCTAGTTCTTCCTTGCATCTTTCTGCCTTGCCCCTAAAAACAAGAGCAAGGAATTCAGATCGTTTTGGAGAATGCACTCAGCACCTGGCCCTGGGAAGTCTAGAAGGTGAGGGCACCATTCAGACTAGTGTCTGGACTGGCTCCATTCAAGGTGGCCCATGTTAACTGAATGCTAATTCGGTAAGTATATTGATTCCTATGCTCATTTTTGAAACTGAGAACTTTTCATTGCCATCTCATTCAGTGCTTTCATTTGTCAGATGAAGAGACCAAAGGTCAGTGAGGATACTGCAGCTCTTTCTTGCACAAAAAGTTCATTGTCCAGATGCCTTTAGGAAGATTAAGTCATATTGTTTTGGTTCTTATTTCTTCCAATAGTTCTTGCAGCCCATTTTCATTATTCAACTTTAGCCCTATTGATATTGGGGCTGGGCAATTCTTTGTTTTACTTTTTATTTTTTATATTTTGTCAGTCCTGGGGCTTGAACTCTGGGCCTGGGAGCTGTCCTTGAGCTCTTCAGCTCAAGGTGAGTGCTCTACCACTTGAGCCACAGCATCAGTTTTCTAGTGGTTAATTGGAGATAAGGACTTTCCTGCCTGGGCTGGCTTTGAACCATGATCCTCAGATCTCAGCCTCCTGAGTAGTTAGGATTACAGGCCTGAGCCACGGGTGCCCAGCTCAACTTTTTGTCTTAAGAGGCCATTCCATGTACTGTCAGGCGCTTAACAGCATCCCTACTCTCCTTCTACTAGATGCCAGTGACATATCTCCTCCCTCCTTGGTTATGGCCATCAAAAATGTCTCCAGATTGCCAAACATCCCACAGAGAACCAACCAGTGGTGTGGACATTATTGTTGGTAAAATAAACTCCTGTTCTGTGAAATGCTGAAGCCCTTAGGCTATCCCATCTGATTTGATTGCTTTAATAAATAGTTTGCTAGCAGATCTCATTTATAGCCAACAAGGTCTGGAAATAAAACAGAGCCACTCTGCAGGGTGTGTCTGTTTCAGTCACAACTCCTGTTCATCTGTTCTGTACGTTATGTCATTCATTCATTTATTATTATATTGTTTCCTTCCAGGAGTGGTTCCATGTCTTGCCCAGAATATCTGGCACTGCACGAAAGGCGTCCAATGCACACTTGAGTAAATATGTGCTAGAAGCGGTATATATTGTGTTTAATTGTGGGTAGAAAGAACTTAGCTAAAGCTTACTTTGTTTGCAATACTTATTGTTTGCATTTGTTTAGAACCTACTCTGCAACCAGGAACATTACATATCAACTCTTTGTTGACACAGTATCAATTTGTGACAAGTGCTTAGATAGTAAGAGGTCCAGATTTGGACCTATATCCAGCTCACTGAAGGACATGATCTATCTTCCTTGATACATTTACTGTCCTGTTCACAGTCAGGAACATGTGTTCCTTCTTTTCATGTACAGAACAATCAGCTCATCAGGACCAGAGAAAATGACTTTATCATTGTGTACAATTTAGTCCAGTTAACCTTTGCTTCTTTGAGAACTCTGTAGAGTCATGGAAACAACCGTGGCATATATAATCTCGTTTAGAAAGGCATTCACGGGAACAAGATTTCACAGTTGGCTAGGAGTCAAAGAAACTATTTTAATGCTGATGGGGGGGGGAGAGTTGTGCATGTGCAGGTGTATAGGAAAAGGTGTCTAGAAGAATAAAGTTCAAGATCTCACCATTATTTCTTCAGTTTCCTGTGGGAAAAGTCTAGTCATAATTCTGCTTCCTTGAAATGCATCTCAGTAGCTCCCAATCGTTCGGTGTTTACCATTTGTTTCCTCAGATTATCAGAGTCTTTGTAAGAATATACAGTATAAGAATTATCAGCTGTTTATCTTCTATTGTCTCCTGAAATAAATTGCCCGAGGGCCAGGGCTTTGCAAACTTTTCTTTGTAATCTCTGCAGCTCAATCGACACTGACCAAGGTAACCCTGACAAATGGAAGAGAGATGCTTTGTAGCCAGGAAAAGAACACATTTAAGCCCTACTCGCTCGGCTACTGCAAGAGGAAAGCACTAGAACCTTTTCCTTCAGGTGCAGCCTGTCGCTCTCCCTCGGGCCACTAGTGGAAACCGTTCCTCCCATCTAAGTTGGAATCTGTTCGGTAGGAAAAGGGAGAGTGTCTTCGTCTCTCTTGATCTAGCGCAGGAGGTCAAAGAGACCAAAGAACCCGCACGGGACGCCGAGAGATCCAGCCTCGGTGCTCTCTTCTTCGGGTGTTCCCCAGATTCGGGCAGGAGAACCTGGGAGGTCCGTGTGGCGGGGTAGGGCGGGGTCCTTTCCAGTTCCACCCCTGGAACACACACACCCACTTCCACCTTCCCAATCTACGCTCTCGATCAGGGATCAGAGATACTGTACCAGCTCCTCCGGCACAGCGGCCGCTCGGAGGGGGCCGAGCTGGGCTCCGCGCCAAGGGCGGGGCCCAGGCGGCTCTCCGGTCCTCCCCTCCCCCGCCCCCGCGCCACTCGAGCCCCGCCCCGACACGCGAGGCCACGCCCCTTCGATCAGGCCACGCCCCCGGTCTCGCCCCCTCTGGGGACCCGACCGGCGCGCTCAGTGCACAGCCTCGGCCCGGGAGCCTCCAGGCGGAGAGGCTCCCGCCGCGCTGAGCCGCGGCCTCCGCATGGAGGGGCCGTGCGCTCGGTCACTGGAGTCGGCGCTGCTCCCGCCGCCACTGCAGGGAGGCGGAGCCGCCGCTATTCCGGAGCCCGGAGCCCGGCAACACCCGGGACACGAGACCGCGGCGCAGCGGTACAGCGCCCGCCTGCTGCAGGCCGGCTACGAGCCCGAGAGGTGACGCCCAGGGCAGAGCGCGCGGGGCGCATCCGGGGCGGGCGGCCTTGGAGGGCGCGGCGGCTCCCGGAGCCGGTGGCGCTGCGGGGGAGGGGAAGGTCGGGCCCCACACACCCTTTTCCTCCACCACCTCCATCGCGAACTTCCCGAGACGCCCTTCTGCAGCCCGGCACCGGAATGCCAGCGGGCACCGAGCGAAGGGTGGCCGGGTGCTGAATGGTCTAGGGTGAGCAGGGGAGAGGGAGCAGGTCATAAAATGCTCCCTAAGATCGTATCCCTGGATCGCCCCACACCCAATGACACTTGGTCCAGGTGGCTCCAACTCCGGTGGTACAAACAGTGCTTGTCCAACTTTGCTTCCTTCTCAGCTGCTTGCTCCTAGAACGGTATTCAGTCGTTGGCCGGGAGGTGTGTGTCGGCTCGGGGTGCTTGTTTCCCCGAGGGCAGGTGAATACACTCCCCGCTCCTCACCGTGCCTGGAGGTTCCTCGCAGCTCCCCTCCTCAGAAGACTCAGAAGCCACCTCCCCGCCCCCCTCCCCTGCTAGGGTCTGGAAGGCGATGAAGGTCCCTGGAGAAAGTGGGGCTACTAACAGTGGGGCTAGTGAACTGGGCCCCAAGGGAACTGGCTGCAAAGGAGACAGCGGCTAATCTCTGGATTTTATCGCTGCTTGAAATGCAATCCCACTGTCCTTCCGGTCCAGAGGATTTGGACTTCTTTCTCTGTCCCATCTGCTGGTGCTCAGCAGCTTGGGGAGGTGACCTGGCAGCCAGGTTGGGAAGGGGGGGGGGTAGTGGTCTGGGTCTGGGGGGAATTAGCCCAGTAGCACTGCCCATAGGACTGGCTGCTTATGTAAGAACTTTTAAGGGCTTAAAGAGCTCTGATGCCTAGTTGCGCCTCCCCCAGCCCTCCCCCCCCCCCCCTGCCTGCTTCTCTAGAGTTGACTCTGGCTTATGCTAGCCCTATCCTTTCTCCTATGGTAGAAATTCAGCTGTTGGGACACAGGGAGACAGGGAGGAGCCACTGTAGGGGATAGCTCAGGCTAGAACACTCAGATCCTGCATGCTTGGTGGAAGCTGTATTTTGGTTAGAGCAGGTATTGCCAAAAAAAAAAAGAAGAAGAAGAAGAAGAAAGAAAGAAAGGGAAAAAAGAAAGAAAATGTCATTTTAGAACTTAGGCTGGGGTCACTAGGGAGCATCCCTTCTCCAGATATACTGCTACATCAAAGGACAGTGCTAACCCAGTAACCTCCTACCCCACACTTAGACTCACTTGAGCCTGTGTAAAACCTGAGCCTAAGCTGGGCACTGGTGTGACGAGATTCCAAACCTTCTGGCTAGACCTCCATCTGCCTTTACCAACCTGGAGCTAAGGGAAGAGGCCATGAGAAGTCTTGGGCTTGAGTCCAGTGTCGCTAGTAGTTCTCGGGCTTAATCTTGGGTGAGCCATGCCCCCTGTCCCAGCTCAATGATATGAACGTGATTGCCTATTCTCCTCTAAATATGTTTTGAAATCTTGTTTCTTCAAATAGCCCCAGCGTAGACAGAGGCCTCTGGGCACCCTGCCTGGACCTCAGTGCCCTGCTGGGCACCATTTCTCTATTCTCCCCAGGAAACAGGCTTAGACCTGCCTCTTGCCCTTGAAGCTGCTAGTGGAGAGTCTCAGGGGATCAACCACCCTTCCTGAGGCGGAGAAGGTCCACTGGTTGCCTGGGTGTCTCCTCCCGGTGGAGGAAGTAGCTGGGGAAGCTCAGGAAAGGGAGGAGGGAAGCCAGGGGAGGGGATTAAGTCTCTGGAAAAGGACCGCATCACTCAGGGCTGAGTCCAGCAGCTTAGAGTGTGGCTGAGCTTTGACAGTGGTCAAAGCAGAGGCATGAAGCCCTGAGGTCTGTAGTCACTGGGAAGATGATTCTCACAACTCAGGCTCCTGTGAGGCCCAGAGGAGGCTAGGCTAGATGTCAGCCCTGGCTGAACCCCGAATAGTACCCATTCCTGATCTATATTGTATGGGACAGTGACCCAAAGCAGGTCCCCTAGAAAGTCTCAGAACCCAGGGGAGTGGCTCATGCGCTGAGCCTGTCATCGGGATGTTTTATAATCAAAAAGGCCAGCTTAGAATGGCAATGTGCTTTCTCTGGCTGGTCTCACTGCTCTAGCCCCAAGTGGCCAGTGAGAGATCCTCCTGTTGGTCCTACTCCCTATTTGGTCCATTCATGGGCCTCTGAGTGCTGGAGACTTTGCTTCCCTGGGAGCTAGTCCCAACTCCCACTGAGCTAGGAGCCCCAAGGTTCCCCTCCCTCCTTTCTGGCCGGAGAGCTTTCAGATGCCTCCACCTTTGGATTCCATTGAATGAAGAGGAAAGCTTGGGGGGGGGGGTGTCTTCGGTGTCACCCTCCCAAAGTTGAGAGAGGACATCTGTGAGTCTCCTGTAACTCTGAGCTCTGTGGGAGATCTCTCTTCCTCTCTGAACAGGGATGGAACAGTGTGTTTTTGTGGCGGGGTCCCGGGGGCATCGCTGGGGAGGCTGGGCATCCCAGAGAGAGCCTTGGAAGCCAAAGCTCCCCGGGGCCTGGCAGTCACCACACTGCTGGGAGATAAACAAAGGGAATCTCCCAGAGTGGGGGGGGGGGAGGGGAGGAAGGGAGCTCAAGCCATGGACAGCCCCTAGGTCAGGAAGAGGGTTGTGTCTGCCTGCCTGCCTCCTCTCACCTCATCTGAAGTTAGTTGGGGTGGGGGGGCACAAGGAGGGGCATTAAGCAGTATCACCAGAGGGAAAGCATCTTGCAGCATGTGAGGGGATTTGCTTCCTAATCTTTCTGCCCTTAGAAGAAAGCTGTATCTTGCTGGGCAATAAGGGTCACCCAACTTCTGCTCTGGGAAGTTTTCAAAAGTTTCCTCAGCCTTTGTGCTGATTTGTACACATCCTGACGTGTCTAAGTCAAGCCTGTCTAAGCTAAGTCTTGCTCTTCCTCTCTCACGACCCTCCCAGAGCACAGCCAGCTTTCCTCTCCGGGGCCAATCCCCTGGTTCCACCCGGTTTCCTAGCTGAGCTGGCCACCACCCGTGCCTGGGACCAAGAGTGCTTTCTGAACTGTAGGTGTTGGTATCTTAAAAAAAAAAAAAAAGGAGGGGACACCTAATAATTGGCAATTCATAGATAATGAAGTAAATGTGATCATTTATGAAAAATGCTTTGTAGATTATCCAGGGCTCCAAGGCCGCCCAAAGGTGAAGGCGTGTCTTTGTTTAAAATGCCTGACTCCCTGATATGAGGATGAGAGAGAGAGTAGTGGTCCAACTTCCATCTGCTGTGTGTCAGGAAGCTGTGGGCCCAGGCCAGTATCTCAGGGCTCCAGACCTTGGTCAGAGTGGGGGTTTGTATCCTGGAAAGGTAGAAAGTGCGTTAGTGGTTCCCTTGGGGTTGGCAACCGGAGCTTCAGGCTGACCGGAGATTGGGGAGCGCAGGCTGCAGGGCGAACCCGGCAGCTGCACTGCTGGGGTCAGGAGCCCGCGGAGGCGTGGCTAAGGGGGCGTGTCCAGGCCTCTCCACCCCACCCCTGCCCCCTTACCCCTCCACCCCCGCCAGGGCTGGCAGAGTGGCTGTGCCATTGCGGGCGGCGGGGCGTGCGCGCGGCAGCCGCCGGGCAGGGCCTTTGTGCGGCGTGGGGCGGAGGCAGCGGCCCCGAAGGGAGGGGCGGGAGGAGAGGGCGGCGCCCCGGGCCTCCCGCCGCTGCCGCAGCCCCCGCCCCCGGCCCGCCGGCCTGGCCGCAGCCGTGGTCGCCGAGCGCGTCGGAGGCAGCGGGGCGGCCCGCACGGGTGTTTATGTCGGGTCGCCGCATCTCCCAGCAGCATGGCGGACTACCTGATCAGCGGCGGCACCGGCTACGTGCCGGAGGATGGGCTCACCGCGCAGCAGCTCTTCGCCAACGCTGACGGCCTCACCTACAAGTAAGCCTCGGGGCTCGGCTGCATCTGGGTGCGCGCTGTGCCCATCCGCTCTCCCCAACCCCAACCCTCCCCCCTACCCCCGATCCACACGTGCACCGCTGCCCGGTGCTGACGCCCGCGCGCCCTGGCCCAATAAGAGTGACTTGGGGCTGGTGGGGGGCTGGGCAAGGGAAGGAAGGAGGCCCGCGCCCGGAGCAGACGGACGTGGCACAGCGACATCACGGCTCTGGGTGCCTTGACCCGTTCCTGGCCGGATCGGGAGGCAGCCTGACTCCTCCCTCCTCCCAGGGGCAGCCCTGGCCACTTGGAGGGGCCTGGGGCGAACGGGAAGCAGCTGTGGGAGTGTTGGGGAGACTTTAACCAGACCTTGTATGATGAGGAGGGATGACCCCTTCCTGCCTGGCTCACAGCAACGGCAGGGGCATCCCCAGAGCCCAGCATTGGCAGTCTCTTGGGTGTCCCCCAAGAGGGGCGAGGGGGCAAGTGGGATAGGGCCTTCTACCACTGTTTAGCGCTCCTTCCACTTGTGCCCTGCCTGACCACAGGTTGGCACTGGTACCCCAGTGAGTTTTGTGTGACTTCCCCTCCCACGTCCACATAAGACTTTGGAGAAGGATATTGATTCACCCGTCGTCAACCTGTACCTCTAGCTTAGTTTGCCTTTTTCATGGGCCCTAGGCCAGTTGTCCTGCCAGCCGCAGGCCTGGCACTTAGCTGTACCTCCTGGCTGCAGGACTGTGTCCCTGCCAGGAAAGAGCATCAGAACCCAGGACTGGGGCAGAATGGGGATACTGGTGAGCCAACAACATTCCTGGCCTGTCTCCTGCCATTTTTACCTTGGTTCGCAAGCATTCCTGATGGATAGGCAGTTTTCTTAAACACCAGGATAGGCTATCACTTCTGGAGAGGATTCCCCTTTGTCTTCCCATAAGTGAGGGCCTCTTCAGGGAGGCTTCATCCCTATTCAGAAGAGCTTGGGGTGAAGAGTGAGATTCCTGGTTGCTTTGGTGGCCATTGGTGATGAGAGAAAGAGTATATCTTTGATAGTTTTCACTGGCATGTCCTAGGAGGAACTCCTAGAAGTTTCTGTAGGCCTACTTCCATCCACCTTGTGGCTTTTCCTTCCTGCATGGGCAGTGCCTTCTGCTTCACCTAGTCAGGTTCAGAGTGTTCTCTGAGGGCGAGATATTTGCTTTGAGGCTGTTTGTCAAGGCCTGCTGTGACTCTGGCCAGTCGGACCTATCAAGCCTTTGGGCCGAGGCTCTGCACCTAATATGCCTATGCAGACCTGGGCTCTCCTTCTGGGCTTTGCTGTTCCCAGGGCCAGCATTGTCAGCTGGCACTCTGGATGTGAGGCCTACTCTCCTCTTTTCTCATTCTAGCTATATCTTCGGTAGCTCCTGTCCCAGTGCCTGCTGTGTTAGAACATGCCTGGCGCTCAGCCGCCTGGGGTCCCACCACACTGCTTTGAACTTGGTGTGACTCAGCAGCCCCTGCCCCGGAGCGTGCTGGAGTACGCAGTACGCTCGGGGCTGGGCCATGCTCATACCTTGTTGCACTACTGAGTTGTGCGACCTGGTTTCTGTGTATTCTGTGTTGACTTAATGGTCATTCCTGACGAGATTGAGACATTATCAAGCATAGGCAGTTTATCTGTTGTGTGTTTGGCCATGTGGGAAAGTCTTGTGTCTCTTGACCAACTCTGAGCCCTGCAGGCAATGAATATTTTGGGCCACTTGCTTTGGAAGTGCCTAAGGCCTGACCTTCTGCCATCTTTGTTTGTAATACTTGGGCTAGTAGGACATTAATAAGGGGAATGAAGAGGGCTCTTCCTGATGTGACAGCAGGGATCAGAAGACCCTAACCTCTGCTTCTCTGGCCTTATCCCGAACTTTGAGTTGCTTCCAATGGGGTGGCAAAGTCCTGCCCACCAGTAATACTCTGTCTTTGCAGTGACTTCCTGATCCTCCCGGGATTCATAGACTTCATTGCTGACGAGGTGGTAAGTACCTCTGCCTTTGACACAGGGAGGGGGCTGGGTGTGCTGTGGAGGAGGCTGACTTCTTGCTCAGGTGCAGGATGTCGTAGAGACTTTTCTTGGAAACTTGTTGGGGGCATATTCTTATGCTTGATGGAGCAGAGGTAGCTAGGGGGATGATTCTGACCTATCCTGTGTGAGGGCCTTGCTTATGGAAGGATGCTCTGTCACTGCTGGAGCCAGTAGGGAGGGAGAGGTTTGGGAAAGGCCCTGTGAGGCCAGGGCTTGGCTGTGGCTGCTTTGTATAGACTATAAAGATTGGATGTTTGAAATGCTGAGCAAGAACATAATGGAAGCTGTAAAATTATGAATACACTCTGAATATAGTGTTCAGCAATTGTCTACTGACCTCACAATGGATAAGAACTGGCAGGAGGGTTTGAAGGACTAGGATTTTGGGAACAAATCAGGAAACGTGTCTTGCTTTCCACAGGGGGCTCAGCGTGAGCCAAATCAATGAACAATTAGTGTATGAAGCCAAAAGGGGCAGTGATGAGGGTATGAGTCAATTCAAGAAGAAGTTTGATGATCTGTTGATGAACTCATGCACATTAAAAAAAACTCACCATTTCTGTTGCTGTTATTATTTCTATTTATTCTGGTTTGACTCTCATGAAAGACCATGCCCTACATGCCTACATCATTTATGTGTTGGGAAAGATAATGTTTAGTCTATGTGCAGAGAGCTGACTCAGACAGATTTTTAGGAAAAAGGGTTAGAGGTGTGGCTCAGTTGATAGAGAGCTAGCCAATAGGCAAAAGCATCAGCTAATGTGTTTGAGTACCTGTCTCTGACAAAAAGAAAAAAAACAAACAGGGGGGTGGGATTTGGGGTTTAGATTGGCCAGCTGTTGACCTGAATCTTAGAGGGGTCTTTGATATCTATACCATTCCTAAATAGGTAACTCCCAAATGTATACAGGTGGAATATATCTTATTCAGAATGGTCAGGACTAAAAGTATTTTGGATTTCAGGGTTTTTTTGGGGAGGAACATTTGCATACATATAACAGTACCTTGGTAATGGACTCAAGTCCAAACCAGTAATTCATGGGTTTCATATACACCGGACATAGCCTGAAGATAATTTTACATAATATTGTGTATACCTGCATTTCTATTGTGATCTGTCACATGAGGGACGCATCATGTCAGAGCTCAAAAAGTTTTAGATTTTGGAGCATTTTGGATTTGGGATCTTCCGATTAGAGAACTCAACCTGTATTTGCCATCTTGACTCTTGTTTTGAATTCTAGACCTTTAGTCACCAGTTTTCTTGAGTGGCTAATAGATCCTTTGCTGTTCCTCTCCTTGCCTTAGCCTTCATTACCCCAAACCCACTCAGTGCATACTGCCAGGGGCACTAGAGTTCTTCAACTATCTTTGTAGCCTATATCCTGAAAGATAACATTTTGCCTGTATGGCTCATACCTGCCTTCTTTCTTTCTTTCTTTTTTTTTTTTTGATTTTCTTTTTGGGGTCTGGTCATGGGGCCTGAACTCTGGGTCTGGGCACTATCCCTCAGCTCTTCAGCTCAAGGATAGTGCTCTACCACCTGAGCCACAGCACCACTTCTGGCTTTTTTTCTTTTTGCTTATGTGGTGCTGAGGAATCGAACCCAGGGCCTCAGGCATGCAAGGCAAGCACTCTAGCACTGATCCACCTTCCCAGCCCTGCCTTCTTTCTTTCCAAGTGGAGCATCAGCTCTCTGCCTGGCTCACTGACAAGCCTCCAGGGCCTGTCCTGGTATAGTATATGAGTCAGTGCTGGGACATGATTGTCAAATGGACGTGATGGAACAAATGGACTTTTACTTTGTCCTCAGGACCTGACATCAGCCCTGACCCGGAAGATCACACTGAAGACACCACTGATCTCCTCTCCCATGGACACTGTGACGGAAGCCGACATGGCCATTGCAATGGCTGTGAGTCCCATGCCTGATGGGGCCTGGGAGGGGGAGTACTGAGCAGGGTGCAGAGGGGTAGGGCTGGGAAGGGCTAGCCCCTGGCTCTGACCACACTTTCTTGCTACCCCAGCTAATGGGAGGAATTGGTTTTATTCATCACAACTGCACCCCAGAGTTCCAGGCCAATGAAGTGCGCAAGGTCAAGGCAAGTACCAGGCCCATCCTCAGAAAGATGCCACTTGGCAGCACCCCAACTTCTCCTCCTTGCAGCTGCATCCTTTGGCTGATCATGGTGTGGTCTCATCTGTCTGTCTTCACAGTGGAGTTCAAGGCTTACCCCTCGTTTTCCTCCCCCCATTAAAGGTTCCCCATCTTTCCCTGTGGCCATGCTACCCAGTTCCCGTGGGTTTCTCCTAGCCTTTGCTTCCCCTTCTGCCCACAGAAGTTTGAGCAGGGCTTCATCACAGACCCGGTGGTACTGAGCCCCTCACACACTGTTGGTGATGTACTGGAGGCCAAGATAAGACACGGCTTCTCCGGCATCCCCATCACTGCCACAGGCACCATGGGCAGCAAATTGGTGGGCATTGTCACCTCGCGAGACATCGATTTCCTTGCTGAGAAGGACCACACCACCCTCCTTAGTGAGGTACCTGCAGGGCAGGGAAATCAAGGCTGTGGTATGGAAAAGTGCCTAGACCCTGGGGGCCCTGGGCTGATGACTGTGACCATGGACCAGTGGGAGGTCTGGCTCCTCTCTCACCTGCCAACCTGCAGGCAAATGTTCCTGGCCCCACAGGTGATGACACCGCGGATGGACCTGGTGGTGGCTCCAGCAGGTGTGACATTGAAAGAGGCAAATGAGATCCTGCAGCGCAGCAAGAAAGGTATGAGGGAGCAGATGGGGAATTGACACTCTAACCCCAGGCGAACTCTTGAGGTCTAGGTCCCTCCATCCCTTCAAGCGTCACAAGTTGTCCCAAGATGCTCACTTGAATGACTTGAATGACACCACACATGCTGGAGCATGATTCCTGATGACCTTTGCCTGGCTTAGGGAAACCTGTCCCTGATTTAGTATCTTTCCCAATATAGTATGAAACTAGTCCTGGGAGGGGTTTGTCCCCAGCCCCTTAAAAAAGGACCTTGTCATCTTCAGAGTCTATAGATTATGATTCAGTGGCAGAACTTAATGTAAGCAAGGCCCTGGGTTTGATCTCCAGCACTAAGTCTGGAAAATACTGCTTTCTATGTCCTCCATCTTGCATAAGATTTATTGCCTTGAAGCCAGATGAGTGGTACATACCTGTAATCCCAGCACTCCAGAAACTGAGGCAGGAGGATGGTGAGTTTGAGGCCAGCCTGAGCAATGTAGCCAGAACCTGTCAATAAATAAATGAATAAAAAACAACAACCATGGGCTTCCTAAAGGCTCTGGAAAGTCCTTCAGTTAAGTTTATTTGATATTGAAGCCGTTTACTTTACATTCACTAAGTCTCTGGGCTATTACTGTCCTGATCCACAGTAGGGAGTTTATTGGGTAAAAGCATATGTGTTAGGTAGAACATATGTCCCCACTACAGGCAGCCTCATATTTGTGCCTTGCCTGGGAGTTTTTGACCAGGGTGACCTTTAGCCCAGCAGGTGAAAAAATGCTTGTGCTCAGGGGCTGCCCCTCCCACCAGGCAGTAGGATAGGAAGTGCTCCTGGAACTTGCTGATCTGGGGGATTTCTTTGCTTCCTGTTCCTGGGAAGAGCACCATCCAGAACCTTAGGAACATTTCTTGGTCGGATCCTGTCACCTAGTGGTTGGTTTGGGTACTTCAGTGGAGTGTTGTGTTCATTTTCATATTTACCCCTAGACATTCCAGTCTTCCCATTCATCCTCAAGTCTGTTTCTTCATCTCATCTCTTCCTTCCTGGCCAGGGAAGCTACCTATTGTCAATGATCGTGATGAGTTAGTGGCCATCATTGCACGCACAGACTTGAAGAAGAACCGAGACTACCCTTTGGCCTCCAAGGACTCCCACAAGCAGCTGCTGTGCGGGGCAGCTGTGGGCACCCGCGAGGATGACAAATACCGTCTAGATCTGCTCACCCAGGCAGGCGCTGATGCCATTGTGCTGGTAAGGAGGTGATGTTTTCCCAAAATACAAGTCTGGGTTCTCATTTAGCTTGAGGCCTCCCTTACTGATCTGCACGCTCCCTTATTGTCAGAATTGTTCACTGTCTTGTAGAGCTCAGAACAAGCTGTGGGACCCCCTGAGAGTTTTCTTTGTATGTAAGTTGACCCTAATAATTATAGGTCACAGTCACTGAGGGCCCCCTGCCCTACTTGCCAGGCACTAAGCTAAGACCTATACCTATACACATTCATTTAATCTTTGCCTTGGCACCTTAAAGTACAACTGGAGAGGAGGCTCACTTGGCTAGTGAGTTTATAGGAACGGAGCCGATTCCTTGCTGTGAGGATAGACATGGGTAGTGGTAGGAAGGAGTTCTCAGGATTTTACCTTAGTGTTTGGTTGGCCTTCTGGGAAAGCGGACCCTTTGAGAATGAGCTTGGACTTGTCAAACGACTTTCAGGAAAAAGAACATTCTCATCATAACAGTGTTCTTGTGAATTGGGGGGTTTGTCCACTCAGAGTCCCCCCCCCCCTCATTCAGCCATCCACTCTAAGCTTTTCTCTCCCCTGCTCCCAGGACTCCTCCCAAGGGAACTCAGTGTATCAGATCGCCATGGTGCACTACATAAAGCAGAAGTACCCCCACCTTCAGGTGATTGGCGGGAATGGTGAGTGCAGGTCCCTTCCCTTTGCCTGAACTCTCAGCTGTCCTTCAGCACCTCTAAGTAGTGGCATTGCCCTTAGATGGTGAGGGGGCTTAGGGGCAGGATGAGATTAGGGTCACCTTGGGTTTCAGGGGCTAGACTGAAATCCCAGGAAGCTTCTGGGCAGGCTGGGAGCATCCCATTCTCAACCATTGCTCTTTTCTTCCCTAATGCCCCAGTGGTGACAGCGGCCCAGGCCAAGAACCTGATCGATGCTGGTGTGGATGGGCTGCGTGTTGGCATGGGCTGCGGCTCCATCTGCATCACCCAGGAAGGTACGTGTGCCTAGGGCCAGAGGGATGCCATTTAGAGCCATCCAGCACCTTGTTCTTGTTCCACAGATGCCTAGTGAGGCCCTACTAGGCCCTTCCTGGGATGGGGGACTCAGGGTGACTCAGGCACCATTCTGCCCTATCCGACCCACAGATGTGGGTGAGGTAGGGGTAAACAGAGGAGGGCTTGTGCTTCTCAGACTCTGCTCAAGGAAACTGTGCCCAGAGACTACCCCACACCAAGGAGGGCGTTGTGGTCCACTGGATGAAGGCTTAGGTTGGATTTGTGACATGACAGATACCTAAGACATGAAGACAACATGTCCTAGAGCATGTAGAGAATTTGTAAATCCACCATATGGTGATATCAGAGTAGAGGAAGGCCTTCTTTCAGGGTAGGTTGCTGGCATGAACATGGAAGGCAGAGAGGGGAGTCTTGCCCAGTGTCCCCTATGTGGTAGAGAGGGTCCCTCCCTAGAGGCTTGCTTGTGGCCCCTCTTGTAAGAATCATTTCTCCAAAGCCCTGAGTACAACATCTCCTCCTTCTGGTCTTCCACCTTTTAAGTTTCTACCCTTCATCTTAGCTAACTTCCATGATGAAACATGGTGCTCTCATTTCATGAATATTAATTGAGCACCTACTGTGCCAAGCACTGTTCTGAACCTTGACTTATAGTAGAGAGAAAGCTACTTCTCTAGTTTGTCTAACTTTGCCCCTGTCCCTAGCATACTGCTGGTTTCTTTGAATCTCCACTTTCCCTGATACTTAAGGGTCTTGGACATTTTTTTTTGGCAGGGGGGGGGTCAGTCATGGGGCTTGAACTCTGGGCCTGGGCGCTGTCCCTCAGCTCTTCAGCTCAAGGCTAGCACTCTGCCACTTGAGCTACAGGGCCACTTCTGGTTTTCTGGTGATTAATTGGAGATAAGAGTCTCACAGATTTTCCTGCCCAGGCTAGCTTTGAACTGTGATCCTCAGGTCTCAGCTTCCTGAGTGACTAGGATTATAGGCGTGAGCCATTGACACCTGGCTAGGGTCTTGGACAATTTAAGTCATTCAAACCAGTATCTCCAAGGAGGCCATAAGTAACTAACTGTAGTCACAGCTTTTGCAAATATAAGTTTCACAGGGGAGATTGTGCTGATGGGGACCACCGGTCTGGAGGTGCTATACTCTGGTCAGAGTATAGCAGGGTGTTCAGGTGGGATTCCCCAATCTGAGTCTCCTTAGTGCTGTTGATGTGTGTGGAGGGCCCTCCAGTGACCCTTGGTCTCAGAACACCACCCAGCCCTGTTCCTGCCTCCAGAGTGGCAGTAGGCACAAGGAGAAGGGGCTGACCTTCTCCTGTTCCTGCTTCTGGGCTAATGTTGACTCGTTTCTGCCTGTGTACTCCACCCTTCCCCAGTGATGGCGTGTGGCCGGCCCCAAGGCACAGCCGTCTACAAAGTGGCCGAGTACGCCCGGCGCTTTGGTGTGCCTGTCATAGCTGATGGCGGCATCCAGACCGTGGGACATGTGGTCAAAGCCCTGGCCCTTGGAGCCTCCACAGGTGCGGGCAGGGGGTTGGGATTGGATGGGTGGGTTGGGGAACCAGTGGGGATGGTAGGGGGAGTGTGAGTCACAAGGCACTGACTCTGTAACTCCCACAGTGATGATGGGGTCCCTGCTGGCTGCCACCACAGAGGCTCCCGGCGAGTACTTCTTCTCCGATGGAGTGAGGCTTAAGAAGTACCGGGGCATGGGCTCACTGGACGCCATGGAGAAGAGCAGCAGCAGCCAGAAGCGATACTTCAGGTGCCTGCCCCAGGGGTCGGGTCCTGGCCCTGGGGTCCCCACCTCCCCAGACAATGACCCTAGTCCCTATGTCCCAGTTCTAGAAACTGAGGTACAGACATACATAGCAAAAGTAGGACTGGAGTGTGGATGACCTGGCCTGCAGGCCAGGCTTGTTTCCACTGTAGTCTGGCATGTGGCTGGACTAGGGACACATGCCTGTCCTCTGGGGGGAAGAGGGGAGTGGGGGTACTCTGAGCCTCAGACTGCTGGGCTCAGCCTCTCCATCCTCCATACAGTGAAGGGGATAAGGTGAAGATTGCACAGGGTGTCTCGGGCTCCATCCAAGACAAAGGCTCTATTCAGAAGTTTGTGCCCTACCTCATAGCGGGGATCCAACATGGCTGCCAGGACATCGGAGCCCGGAGCCTGTCTGTCCTGCGGTGAGCACAGTCGTTAGAGGGGACAGCAGGTGGAGGCCCCTGGGAGGCTTTCCTCCTGCTTCCCTGTCTGTCTGTCAGTCTGTCTGTCTGCCTGTCTGTCTGTCTGTGTCTTGTCTCTCTGTGTTTCCTGCTCAGCACTTCTGACCTGCCCACCCACCCACCTGCCAGGTCCATGATGTACTCAGGAGAGCTCAAGTTTGAGAAGCGGACCATGTCGGCCCAGATCGAGGGTGGTGTGCATGGCCTGCACTCGTAAGTGGCGGGTCTTCTCACTCCCGCTGGCTGGCGCTGGGTTGGACAGCTGGGCAGGTTCACAGGCCAGGATGAGGTTCCAGGGGCCCCATGGACCCAGGATGGATGCTGCTTCAGGACCATCCTGTGAGCTAGCCTACTGTAGAGCAGCCCTTGTGCAGGCCAGCCACTCTCCTCCCTTGGTCAGCAGCCCAAGAGGGCACGGGAGGTGTGACCACTGGCTCCACCTGGGCTCCCAGCCTTTGCTTGCTCAGAATGCTCGGTGGCTGGTGGCTGGAGGCTGGTGTTGCTAGGCTCTTGGTGGTGGTGGCCCCAGTCTGGTAGGTAGAAGATGGAGCTTGAGCCCTCTGAGAGAAGGGCAGAGAGACAGATGCCAGGGCCAGCGCTGGGGCAACCGTGGGTGGTGGCAGAGCTAGTTGGCAGCAGTAGTTGTAGGCATGCAGCCCGCCCTGATCAAGAGGGCCCATCTCCCTGGGCCTAGGCGGGCATCTAACCTGTGTCTCTTTCTGCCCTCCCCCCCCCCCTCCCATAGCTATACCTTTCTGCCGTGTAAGTAACCGCGCTGCCCGGGCCAGGTGTAGAATAGAGCAGGGGCCTTCTGGGTGGGACCTGGGCTGGGAAGAGGGCATCAATTGGGGGTGGCACTTGGGTATTATGAGATATGGAGCCTGGAATTGGTTCCTCTTGATCCCTATCTCCAGCACCTTGGCAAAAGCGGCCAGCTATGGCCCCTTAGCCAGGTGAAACATAAATCCCTTTTTGGGGTACGGAAAGATGCCCGTGGCCGCGGACCTGAGGCTGCTCCATCTTAGACTAGCATCGTGAATGAGAGGCCTGGACCCATCATGAGTGCAGGGCAGACTGGAGACAGGGTTGCAGAGGTGCAGCTTCTGTCTGAAGTCTCCCTGCGAGGATGGCTTCCTGAGCCATCCCTGCGCCGCAGGCACTAAGGACAGTCGAGGTGTGCTAGTGGACGAAAGAAGCCTGTCATGATTCTTCAGAGAGCCCTGGCCTGGGGAAGTCAGAGGCCTAGAGCCACCGTCTCCCCCGCCATGGCCGAGAGGCAGGCTCTGCAGCTCCTCGTTGTCTTCCGATATGGGGATCTTTAGGCAACAGGATGCGGGAAGGGAGTGGGGTTCACTCACACACTCTTGTCCTCTCCTGCCTTGTGCCCGCAGTTACGAGAAGCGGCTGTACTGAGGACAGCGGTGGAGGCCGAGGCAGTGGAGGGGGGCACCAGGACCCCCCTTCTGGCACAGCCTCCCTCCATAACTGAGTGGTCCATGGATTTGCACTACGGGTTCTCTAGCTCCTTTCCAGAGGGGAGGTTCTTGGAGGGGCTCCAGCCATTCTCGAGACCACCCCCTCACAGAGTTAGGATGCTCCCTGGGCCAGGCTACCCGGGAGCCTCTGGGCTCCCTCTTCCTCAGCCCCCTGAGCCCAGCTAGCCTGGGCTCTCAGGCCCTGTGCCTGCCTCAGGTCTCTCTTGCTGCAGCCTGCTCCAGCCCCACTCCCACCCTTGGGGCAGGTGGCCCCCGGCTTCTCCTGTAGGGCACCTCCCTCTCTGTGCCCCTTCCCCCAGGAAATGGTGCTCTCCTGGCCCTGCCTCCTGGGCTACTGCCCTTTCAGCCATGTGGCACTCTGGGCTCCTGACCTAGGCCAGGGGGAGGTCTCTGCCCCCTTCCCTTGGCCTGAGGCTCTCTTGGGCCCTGATCCTCAAGCCACTTCCCCATCCCTGAGCCTGGGGAGGGGGCCACCCTGATAATGGCCACCTGCCCATAATTCCTAATTTGTGACAGTCCCCAGGTGTACTGTTCCTGCCCTCTCCTCTCAGCTGCAGTTGAAGGCTTTAACTTTGCACACTTTGGGGTCATAGATCATTGTATATTAACTAATCGGAATAAATCAAGCAGGTCTCAATGCCTCTGAAGTGTCTTTGTCCCTTGCCAATGGGGGGTAGTACACTGGAGCCCATCAGAACCCAGCCTCCCTAGGAAGGTGAGGAAGGGGTTGTGGTTCTTGAAGGGATACTAGAACAGGTGGGCCACATTGTAGGTCTTGCCAGCTGTTCCCGTTGGTTGAACCTCCGGAAGCTGGGGTTGTCATGGGGATAACCACTGTGCACATTATGGTGTTTGGCAGAAAGTACACACCAGAGACTTGTTACTCTGTATTGCACATGATCAAAGGTAGAGGAAGTACAGCACGGTGGTGGCCCAACACCTGCGGCCTCAGCAGCTGAGATGCACCTGTGGGTACAAGGCAGTGTAGATGAGCTCCTCATGGTCACATGTAGCTCAGAACCTGCACCTGACTTCTATCCACTGATGTGCATTCAGACTGCTCCACAGGCTGCTGAGAACCCCCTAGAATGAAGAGGTCGTGGGACATTCATATCATCTTCCTGTACTGGTGTTGTAGGCAGGTGAGTGGTTGAGGAGCTTCACCCTGAGACGCAGACATGGCTGCAAAGGACAGAGAGAGGAAATGGCCTGGGGCTGCTCTGGTGGCAGGGATGAACAGAGGGCGGGCTTGTGAGTCGTCAACATTTGGAAGTGCACCGTACCTCTTTGGCTCACCATGCCAATCACTGCCCTTTCCCAGGCTTCTGCTCACAGGACACCTTTTGGCCACAGTGGGGCAGATACCTGTGGACAGTGTGTAGACCAGGATTTTCATGGAGACTTCCAGCTTTGTGGGCTTTATAGGGATGAGAAGGGGGCAAGTTGGGTAGTAAGACGTTGGGGTGGGTGTATAGCTGCTCCAGGAACGTGGCAAAGAGAATGGGGTCCTTGAGTCCCTGGAGGCCTTGTGCCCTGTAGTTGGTGACCCCAGGGAGGACCCGAGAGTCCTAGCTGTTGGGGACACAGATACTCAGATCTTAGGGAATGGTAAAAGACGAGGAGATGAACTGAAATGACATCATGTTTCCCATTGCATGTTGGTTTACAACAATCCTACGGGCAAGTCAGGCACCAGTGGCTCACGCCTGTAATCCTAGCTACTCATGAGGCTGAGATCTGAGGAACGCAGTTCAAAGCCAGCCCAGGCAGGAAAGTTCATGAGACTCTTATCTCCGATTAATCACCAGAAAACCGGAAGTGGCGATGTGGCTGAAGAGGTAGAGTGTTTGCCTTGAGCTGAAGAGCACAGGAACAGTGCCCAGGCCCAGAGTTCAAGCCCCATAACCAACACACACACAAAATATCCTACAGGGGAGCAGTCTGACCAGTGATTGAGATAGGAGAGATGCACTCAGCTCATCCTGAATCCAGGGTGAATGGATCAAAGGGAGAGTTTGCCTTTGAATAGACCTCACCAGTCAACATTCTGGCAAGCAGAATGGCTCACCTTGTAAGTTTAGCCGCTTCCTCATGACTTGAGGTTTGTATGTTTGGCCCCTCTAGAAGAAGTTCTGGTACAGCGGGTGTGTTTTAGAATCACTTGGAGAACCATTAAGAACCCCAGAGGCAGGCTGGGAAGGTGGCTCAGCGGTAGAGTGCTTGCCTCACATGCGTGAGACCCTGGGTTCAATTCCTCAGCACCACATAAACAGAAAAAGCTGGAAGTGGTGCTGTGGCTCAAGTGGTAGAGCTCTAGTCTTGAGCTGAAGAGCTGAGGGACAGTGCCCAGGCCCAGAGTTCAAGATCCACGACCACCTCCCCCCCCCAAAAAAAAAACAAAAAACAGAGGCCCACGCTCATTGGAGTGGAAGACATCAGCTTCCAGGTTCTGATTGGTACCAAAGTTTGAAAATCCCATTGTAGAGGAAATCTGTGAATCCAATTATGATTTATGAGACTTTCCAAAGCGTATGTTCCAGAAAAAAAACAACAAAACATTTTGGTTGATTCAGCACCTATCTCAAGTCCTTAACACCTAAGAATCATAGGACAGAGCCCACGGAGAGTTATACGTGTTTAGCAAATTTGTCTTACTGTATCTTACTTGCCCTCCCATTGCCCCCATGATGGGAATGACCCAGACAACATGCTTGCTCAGCTGCAAATTCAGCCATAGCAGGCCAGGCCCAGGAGGGAAAAGGGGCGGATGCTCCGGTTAGACGGCCACATCCGGTAGATCACGGAAGCATCCCAGAGCTGCATCTGGGACGGACCTTGGTCACCAGAACTTTCTGCTTACCTGGAATCTACCCTGGCTTGTGTGGCTCCTCCTACTCTCTCCTTGGCAAACTTGCCCTCAGCCGCCTAGTCCAGGGTGCCTGCTCCATGGCTCTCCATGATGTGCCCCTCCACCCAGACAACAAGCAATGCCACCATGGCACCCCAGGCCCCAGTTCATGGGCAACTGCATTAGTGATTCAGTATCACCACCCAGGGAGAAGGAAACCAGCTAGTGCTCCAGATCCCCAGCAATAGCAGCATTTGAACAACCCCAACCAGGGCTTTGCATGGCTGCACAAGAAGTGTTCTCCAGCTGCTCTGACCACCAGCCAGGGCAGGAGCCAGAGCAGTGGGTGAAGCCAGGGGATCCGAGGTTCATGTGGATGGAGCCAGTGCATCTCATCATGGCCTCGGGACAAGCAGCAGGGCCCTCTTTGGTGCATCTTGGGGACAGACAGAGGAGGAGCAATGTGCAGCCCTTGCCTCTGGCGTCATCTTGGCCTCCACTTTAGAGGGCTGAGAAAAGAGACTCTTACATGCTATAATCCAGGAACTTAGATGGCTGAACTAGCCCTCTGAGGCCCCTGTGCCAGTCAGGGAGTAGAAAGCCAGCCTGGAGGGGGGAGAGGGGCAAGTAACATTGTGTGCATGACCCACAGCCCTCAATCCCTCCCCTACCCCTGTCCTCCCATTGGGGGTGGGTGTTAGAGACAAAGAAGGACCTAGCTGTTGGGGTATGTGAGTTGGGGAGGCAATAACCTCCTTTGCTTCGATGCTGCACTTACTTTTTAAGGATCCTTTTCTAGGTATAAGAGCCAGACTCCTGTATGCAAGGTCAGCCTCACAACACAGACCTGCCTTATTAGGGGCTGGGAAGCCAGTCCTAAACCAGCTCCTCAAAGCCACAGCAGCCCTTGTATTGCAGAGTCTGGAGGCAGGCAAACTAGTCAGAGGGGAGTGGCAAGGAAGAGGCTCCTAGCTTCACACCTGTATTCTCATGGTGGGGGCCCTCACCTGCAAGGTGTGCAGTTCACCTCTTCTAGATTTCTCTATGGTTCCTTTCCTTCTGGCTCAGCTCAGAAGGGACAGGAGACATCTGGTTAACAAGGTGCCCAGGACAGGTAGAGGCCAGCCTTTCCCTTGCCCTGTGCCTTGGTTTCCCTGACCATAGCCTGGAAAGAGAAGCACTCTCACCTTCTAGGTACCCCAACAACATCGTAGTTTTTGACTTCACACCTCAGATGTACCACTTGATCCTGCACCTGTCAGGGTGTGCTGATCTCTGTGGGGATACCCCAGGTAGGGGGCCGTTCAGAAGCCCAGATCTCCATTGCAGGTGTCTGTTTGCCTCTCTTTTTTGCAGGGCAGGATGAATGGAGCTCCAGGGGTGCTGTCTGAGTGGTGGATAGGGACGATTCTCCCCAGAGAGCAAAAGGAAGTTGCAATTAGGGAACACCAGGATCTGGAGGCTTGAAAAGAGGGACTACGGGAGGCGGTGTTTCATAAAAATCTTGATGTGAGACCCCCCCCCCCCACTGGTCAGTGGCCCATCTTTAACTCTAACCTCTGTATCCCCATTGCTCCCACCCTGTGTGACTCAGGATATTATTGAAAAGCAAAATGCAGGTCTGCACTGCAGATTCCCCAGCTTCAGGAAATCAATTAAGGGGAGGGACTTCCTCCAGACCCCTCTGCACTGCCCACATCCTCTCTATATGGGGAAGACACCACTGCCACCCTTCTCCCATCCCACAGTGCCCAAGTTTTTTCCATGCCTCTGGTCTCTGGGGAAAATCTGAGGGTAAAAAGGAGCAAACAGCTTTTTGATGAAGAGTGGGGGAAGAAGTGATGACACTGGAGCAGAAGAATGTTGCCTGATCCTGAGCTGTTGGACTCTCCACCCGGTGCTTGAGAAGCAGTGTGGCTCTGCATCCAGCAGATGGCGCCAGAAGCACTGACTGTCTGGACCACAGGGAGACTGGAGTGGGGCAGTTTCCTAGGCAACATGCTGCATTTCTGAAAGCCCTGCCCTTGGCAACCATTCCCTCGTTGCTCACATCCATAGTAAAATTGGTTTCTGAAGGACAGGAGGGGCACAGGGGGCCTCTCTCGGAAAGAGAGAGGCTGGCTGGGGGCACAGAGAGGAATGGAAAGACCTGTTTTCCGCTGCCATTCATTACTCTGCACCAGTGACCTGCTAGCTGGATCTTATTCTCGGCAATCCTTATTACAGCAATAAAGCAGTAATGCATACTTCTTTATTATGGATGGGGATGATGGAGCTCAGACAGAGGAAATAACTTGCTGGAATCACCAGCCGGTAGGAGCTTGGGCCTGCCTGTATGTCCTCAAGTCTGATTCCATTCTGCCTGTGACTGTGTACTGTCCAAACCTAGAGAGGGAAGCTGGTGAGGAAGCTTGTTGGGAAAGCAGGAGTAGAGCAGAAGGTAAAGAGAGACCAGCCAATTCAGCCTTCTTCCAATACAGTTCTGTCCTTACTGGCCTGGGCTGGATGTTTCTGCCCAGAGACTGCTACTTTTGGCAGAGCTTCCCTCGGTCAAAGGACTACAGAAGTGGCAGGAAGGGGTCTTTCAGAAGTCATACAAGGGGTTGGAGGTGTGGCTTAGTTGCTAGCCAGTGAGCAAAAGTGGCAAGTATGGAGTTCAAGTGTTGGTCTTGGATCTAAAAAAGAAAAGAAACGCAGTTATATGAAGAACAGAGGTTTTAAGAAGGACATGAACCTAGAGCCCATGACTGTTCTAGTGGAGAAGAGAGGAATGAAGGTTCAGGAAGGAGAAG